TAAAATATTTACCTACATTTGAATATCAAAAATATAATTTTTAATTAAATTTTCAATATCTGCAAAAACTTCATATTCACATTCATTACAAATTGAATATAAGCCTCCTAAATTCTTTTTATATTAATATCTCTTTTCTTGAAAACATATCATAAATGTAGTTCTTTTTATACCATTAGGATATAATTCTGAAAATTTCTGTCATAAAGATGCTTTAGTATCCTGAAGATATAATAGTTTTATTATCTGTTTTATAGCTACTTGTATTTATATTTTTTTTATTTGAAAAAAATAATTCAAATTGGGCTAATGATACTTCTAATAATTTAATTCAATGAATAATAGATTTGAATAATAAGTAAAACATCATAACTAACAAATTATACATGTTTACAAATTTCAAAAATAGTATATGTATTAACCTTATTTTAAATATTTAAAAGTTAAATATTAAAAATTTGAAACTAATAATTCATTTTATATAATATAAAATATATTTACTGCTAATTCAGATTCTAATTCAACTTAAGTAAAATTATCAGCAATTATTGATAATATACGTTATTTACTATTTAGTATCTTTTTATTTATCATCAATATATGCCTGAAATAGTTCTAAAGGAATAAATTCTGATTTGCAATATATTAAGATTAGCATGAAGAAATCCTATTTTATATAACACATATAATAAATCCTTATTTTTTTCATAATCAGTTGATTATATTCAAAGTTGTTACTTAATTTAATGATATAAAATATAAATTAATTTGTATATTATATAAATAAAGAATCTCAAACAAGATAATTTTTATTAATTATAATACAAATATATAAAAAATAATAATTTTATAAAATAAAATTATTTAATCATTTTTATATTAAATTATAAATTTTAAAATAAGATTCTACTTTTTAGCTTTATAATACAATTATAAATTCTAAAGATTATTATATTCAAATTCAATCCAATATTATTATATAAATATTATATAAAAATTTACCTTAGATTCATCGGATAACTAAGATGTTACATCATAATAATCTGTAATGCATAACTTTACACTTCATGCTTCTAATTTCTGATTACTAAGCTGATGATCATCTAAATAAAGTTTAGAGGTTGGAACTGGTTAATTTTTAACCGGTTAATTAACCAGTTAAAACGGTTAACATGTTAACCGGTTAAAGATTTTTTTTAACCAGTTAAAATAGATGAATTTAAATCTGACCAAAATTCAATTTCCGGCCAGAATTAAGATTTTTATAATTGACATAATATTGTCTAACTCTAGCCAAATTTATAATACTGGCCAAAGTTAATTTTAACCGGTTAATTAACCGGTTAATAAATATTTTAACCGGTTATTAACCAGTTAAAGAATTTTCAGCCAGTTCCAACCTCTAATAAAGTTTTTTAAGACTAGATATAAATTCAATTATTAGATTTATACTTTTAGCCTAAGTCTCAAAAAAATTGATACCATTCAATATTAGCAAGTATTCAGTATTTAAGATTATAATTATAAACAGGTTTTAAAAAAGAGAAAATATATCAATTTTTTGAAGAATATGCAGGTTTTAAATTTTGTTAAAATAATTTTTGAGTAAATAAATTTTTTAGGCTAAAAAGCTTGATTTCTTCATTTTATTTTATAGATCCTGAAATTTTCCAAATTTCATTTGATAAATTGGCTATAAATCAGTTTTAAACTTTATAATCTTAATAAATTTCAAGTACATAATTCTCATTTTCTATTGTAGACAAAATATTGTTAGTTTATTAAAATACCTATTATTAAATGAATCTTTATATATTAACCCTCTATTTTTCTAACTTTTATTTAATGAAGTGCCAATTTCATAAATAAAAATGTGTTATTTTTCAATAAAAAAGAAAAAGAAAAAATGGATATTTTGGGATAATTGTGGAATTATATTTTTGTTATTCCACCTTAATATTAATAAATTAGAGAAACAAGTTTATATTTAAAATATACTAATATATACATTTGAAATTGTAACAGAAAAATTATTTTCTACTTTACTTGAAAAAGTACTTGAAGTATAAATAAAATCAAAAGCAAAAGAATTATCAAAGTTGCCTACTATAACAGTAATATAAAAGCTCTTTCATTGAGAATAGTTTTTATAGTTTGACCAATCTGAATCAGAAAATAAGTTAAAACTTTATTAGCATTATCATTACTGTTATTATATTACCACTAAAGATGAGAATATAGCCTATAATATAAATCTAATGATAAGGAACCTGTTGCTAATAATGTAACTATAACTTCATGAGTTTTGAGCATTAAAAAAGGATGATAACTTTAAGATTCAATAGTAATATTAAACTTTCTAAGTTACTTATCCTAATTGTTATAATTTATTATTATATGTAATATTGCAAATCATATACAAATCAACAATCAAAAATATACTTAAATTTTTGGTAATTTAGTTTTAATTAATTTTTTAATATTTTTTCCTGTAATACTGTAGTTCTTTTTTTTGTAATAGTTATCTTCGTACTTTTTCTTGTAGTAATCATAAGATATATATTTGTAGGATTCTTGAGATTTAAAATAAGGATTAATATTAGTTATAAATCAATCATAATCAAATTTTAGTAATAGTAAATAACTTATTCTTTTTGTAATCATCATTGTAATTATTTTTTTTGTAGTAGTTGTTATTATAGTAATTCTTATCATAATTCTTATAATAATCCTTACTATAATAAGATTTTTGATCTTTTTACATTTTCAAATCCTTTTAAGTTTTTTGTTCCGGTTAACTAATTAACCAGCAAACTTTTCTCTTATGAAACTATCTTTAGCATAAAATTTCTTTACAATATAGCATCAAATTTTAAACTACCACACCTTAAAAAAAAAAAGATAAAATAAATAAAATTGGTAATCAAAGTAATTACCAAAATAAGAAAAAGAAAAAAAAAATTAAATCAAAAAAATAATTAGTCAGCTTACCTTCGCTGCGGTGACGAACCGGACGGTTCCGTTCGAAGGTTCTTAGCCTAAGATTGGGAACCATCGACCTAAATAAAAAAATAAAAACAAATAAAAATAAACTAAAAAAAAAAAAAAAAAAATCGACTTACTTCGCCGCGGTGACGATCCGTTCGAAAACAATGTTCAAAATGGGAAATAATAAATTTAGATAAAATTAATTTGTAATTAAAGAAAATTTTCATCTAAACAGCAGTTCACTAATCTAATCCAACAAGTCCAAACAAAAAACATCACAACCACTTCCAATTTAATAAAACATTATAATTTATACATATGATTATGAATCTAGTTAAAAAGAAAAAAATCTAATATATAGTATTAGTGGTCTGAGAACATAAAGTTCCAACATGTAGTTGAATTAAAACTCCTAAGATTAATACAAAAAAAATAAATCTTCCAATACATGAAACAAGACCGAAAATTAACACTACTATCTCCTCATGTATTTACATGGTTCGTCCTGATATAACAATTAACAAGATATTTTTATAGAAATAGATTCTTTTTTTTTTTAAAAAAAAAAAAATAAATAAAAATTGTGTTAATTAACCGTTATTAGTTACGAAATTTTATTGTATAAGTCGGCCGAGTTTCATGAAAATGAAACACGACAAATTTACAACGTTTTGATCTAATTATGTCGTTTAATTTATTATCCTATTTTCATTTTTAGCTAATATTTTCTAGTTAAGTATTATATAATTCAGCTAAAACACGACGTTTATTAGTATTACAAAGATTTTTTATAGGTTGACTATAGTTGGAATTCAGATAGTATCAGAAACTTAAATAACAATTTCAAAAGATACCTGACCCCAGCAATTTCGGGGCGATTAATCAATTTCTTTAGGTTACACGTTGGCTTCCTATTTCTTAACGAAAGAATCTGTAATTAATTGTAAATTTGAAATAAAAATTGTCAATTCAATGCATAATACCCAGTCTTCTGAAAATGAGTCTGTAGATACCTTATTTTAACTTTACGTTTTAATGGTTTAATGGTTTTTCAATGTATAAGAAATCAATGGATGCCATTTTAATCCAAAGCACGAATAAATGAAATCATCTGCTTTGTTTTAAATTTTTGTAAATAATTATATGTTTCCTAAAGTTTATGGATATCTACGTATAAATCACAACTTTTCCTACTAAGAGCGTGTGCATTAATATTAATATACCAAATGCGACATATTATTTTTATATAAAAAAATTTGCAAATAAAGAATGTAACGATTGAAAACGAATATTATGTAATTAAATTATTTTTATCGGTTTAACCAAATGCAGGTAATTTATATTAAGATATTATATAATGCACATAGTAATTAATTTTTTTTTTTGAAATTAACAAATTGATTGGTTAGCTACAAATCCAAATCTTTTCACGCGCCAAAAAATCGTCACAGTATTTGAACGAAATTTTTCAAATAAATAAAATTTAAAATTGAAAATTTTTAATACTTTTTTTTTCAGATTTCTTTTCTTTATATTTATTATTTATTTTTTTGCTTATCATGAAGTAAAAAAAATTCTTTGATATTTATTGATGCAAAAAATTTTGCTTTCATTCATTATTCTTTACATGAGTCTTGCGTAAAAAACTAAGTGAAGTAATCATGTACTGTACGCATGCGTATACTAAAGTATTCATCAACTATATTTCATTACATAACGGTGAAAAAAAAAAAGATCACGAATATGAAATATCGGCTGCGATTGTTTTATTATTTAACAAGCTAGTTTTTTTTTTTTTTTTATAAAATACCTAAACATTTTAATTTATTTACGAATTATAAGTTTGACGAAAAGAGATTTTTATTATCTTTATTTTCATTAAGAAAAAAAAAGCGAAAAAAAACGAATAAACATTTTATTATTTACAGGAATGATGAGATCATTTTCATTGTAATTTTCTTTGTGCAAAGAAAATTTTCCAAAATTTTTGGTAAATCCGTCTAATCAATTTTTTAATATTTCTTCGTCGTGTAATAGTCATCATCGTATTTCTTTTCCTTGTAGTAGTCATCATCGTATTTCTTTTCCTTGTAGTAGTCATCATCGTATTTCTTTTCCTTATAATCGTAATCATGAGGTGTACGTTTGTAGTATTCTTGAGATTTAAAATAAGGATTAATATTGGGTTATAAATCGAT